TCATGATGCGTCCAGTCTTGATGGTCCCACCTTTTCCTCCACTCTTGCAGCTCCGCCTGCAGCTTGTCTCTGCATGTGCCTCTGCTCCAGTAACTTCACTTCGTCTGGGGCCCGTTGGGTCACCTGCTGCTTGGCCTCGCGGGCGAGGCGGGCCCCTCGGGCTCCACACCTCCTGCCGCATCACTGCTCGGCTGCGCACGCAAAGAGAGGGCGCACCGTGCCGAGGCCGGTGGAGGCGCCCGCCGCCCGCCGGCGACGGCGCGGCGGCGCGCTGAGGCCGGCCCTTCCCCCCGAGGGTGTCCGCGCGGGCGGGGCGCGGCACCTGGGGCGAGGGATAGAGTTCCCGCAAACGGCCCTCCTCCTCCTCCTCCTCCTCCTCCTCCTCCTCCTCCTCCTCCTCCCCCTCCTCCTCCCTCCGCCCCCTCTTGCCCCCTCATGCCCCCTCCGCGGTCCACGCGCCTGCTTCCTCCTGTTCTCTCGTCGCCCTCCATGTCCACCTCCGTGCTTCCCCGCTCCCGCTTCCCCATCACGTCCCGCGCCTTCCCTCTCTCCATTATTCTCCTCCTCCTCCTCCTCCTCCTCCTCCTTTCCTGGAAAGAGCGCGGGCCCAGGGTTGCCCAGGGTTTTCTTTTAGTTTGTAAATCGTCCCCCGTGCCATGTTGGGGAAGGGCCGGCGGAATTATTCCCAGACAAGTATCGAGGTCGGGAAGGGCCGGCGGAGCTATGGTTGAGGATGTCTCGAGCGATACGATTGTTGTTCAGAATTGGTTGAGGATGTCTCGAGCGAAACGCTTGTTGTTCGGAATGTGTTGAGGATGTCTCGAGCGAAACGCTGGTTTTGCAGAGTTGGGGGATGTCTCGATCGGGGGCCTCGTGGGTGGGCTAGAATTCAGAGGATGTCTCCGGCGAAATGCTTGTTTTCACGTGCCCAGGTCGGCCAGGGAGGTATCCACCATGATTGTCCGTCGCTGGCGCCTCAGACGACCGCATGTTGGATATCCCCTCTGGGTGGGCTGGAACTATGAGTTTGTACTTGTGCAGGCCATCAGGGGGGTATCTAACATGGTAGTCCCGAGCTGGAATCAAGTGTTTTCACGCGTCCAGCCAACCCAGAGGTGCATCTAACATGGTGGTCCCAAGATGGAACCACGTGTTTTTGGGTGTGCAGGCCACTCAGGAGGGGTACTCCAGATTTCAAGAAGTTTTAGACCCCCCCAGACTATCCATGAAAGGGCGGCCCTTTGCCCAGACCCCCCCGAACCCTCCAAGACAGCTCAAATTAGACCCCCCCCGAATGTGACCCCCCCCACTTTGTAATGGAATCCGGAGTATCTAACATGGTGGTCCTGCGCTGGAATCGTGTGTTTCCAAGTGTCCAGGGCACCCAGGGGGGTATCTAACATAGTGATCCTGTGCCCAGGCCACCCAGGGAGGTATCTAACATGATTGTCCCGAACTGGAACCACGTGTTTTTACGTGTCCAGGCCGCCCAGGGGGGATCCAACATGGCGTCGGGCCCAACGCCGAATTATCAGAAAACGCACGGGGGGCCGAAAAGCGCTACCAGAACACATATCCCAGTGATGTTTTCTTGCTCTGGACAAGGGGTGGCGCTTTGGGAGCCTCTCCAGGGAAGACAATGCGAGGATGTCTCGGGCGGGAGCGCGAATTCAGCGTATCCTGGCCACCCAGGGGAGTATCTAACATGGTTGTCCCGAACTGGCACCACGTGTTTTTACCTGTCCAGGCCACCCAGAGTGTATCTAACATGGTAGCCCAGAGCTGGCACCACGTGTTGTTACGTGTCCAGGCCACCCAGTCGGGTATCTACCATGATTGTCCCGAATTGGAACCACATGTTTTTACGTGTCCAGGCCGCACAGGGGGGTATCCAACATGGCGTCGGGCCCAACGCCGAATTATCAGGAAACGCACGGGGGGCCGAAAAGCGCTACCCGAACACATGTCCCAATACAGAAAAGTTATAGCTTCTTGCTCTGAACAGGGGGTGGCGCTTTGGGGGCCTCTCCAGGGAAGACATTGCGAATATTTCTTGAGCGGGAGAGCGAATTCAGCGTATCCAGGTCACGCAGGGGGGTATCTAACATGGTTGTCCCGAGCTGGAACCATGTGTTTGTTCATGTCTCCCGAGCTTGAACCACGTGTTTTTACGTGTCCAGGCCATCCAGGGGTGTATCGAACATGGTTGTCCCGAGTTGGCACCACGTGTTGTTACGTGTCCAGGCCACTCCCGAGCTGGCACCATGTGTTTTTGCGTGTCCAGGCCACAAGCACGACGCTTGTCCCCAGCACGTTCCGTAGCGCGTCCCCTTGGCACGTCCCGCGGGGCGTCCCCGTGGCACGTCCCCTGGCACGTCACTTGGCGCGTCCCTTGGGACGTTCCGCGGCGCGTCCTCCTGGCATGTTCCCTGGTCAATTCGCTCTGGGGCAGCTACTATGTGGACTATGTGCTCAGGCAGCTCGAGCTTACGATCCAGATCGGTTCGGTCAGGACTCGGACGCAATGCAGGACTCGATCCACAATATCATAGAGCACAATCTCGGCATGGCACATCGCAGTTCAGCCCGGCGCAGCACAGCACAGCCCTCGGCACGGTACATCAAGATCGATACACTCATTCAGCATTGCAGCTCGGCACGTTCCGTGGCGCGTCCCGTGGCGAGTCCCCCCGGCACGCCGCGCGGCGTGTCCGTTGGCACGTTCCGCGGCACGTCCATCATTGGCACGTTCCGTAGCGCGTCCCCTTGGCACGTCTCGCTTCCCGTCCCCATGGCACGTCCCCTGGCACGTCGCCTGGCGCGTCCCTTGGAACGTTCCGCGGCGCGTCTTCCTAGCATGCCCCCCTGTGAATTAGCTCTGGGGCAGCTGCCATGTGCTCAGGAAGCTCGCGCTTTAGATCCAGATCAGTTCGGTCAGGATTCGGATGCAAAGGAGGACTCACTATAGAGCACAATCGGGACATGGCACACCGCAGTTCAGCACGGCGCAGCACAGCACAGAATTCGGCACGGTACACGAAGGTCGATACATTCAGCATTGCACTTGCCCGTCGCCCAATCAGGTGTCTTTGGAACGTTGCCATGTCTTAGATGTCTATGTTCCTAACGAGGTTCGTGGATCGATCGTGTTCCTCCTCCTCCTCCTGTACCCTCTTCCTCCCGTCTGCCCCCTTTCCCCAGACGTGTGGCGTCTCGAAGACATCGGGACGCGGGTGTCTCGTAGTTCTCGGCCGACCTCCCGGCCTTCGCAGGGCGGGAGGTAGGCCGAAAACTACACGCGCCGCCGCCGCCGCCGAGCCCCCGAGGCGAAGGGGCAGGAGGGGGGGGAGGAGGAGGAGGAGGAGGAGGAGGAGGAGGAGGAGGAGGAGGAGGGAGGAGGAGGAGGAGGAGGAGGAAGAGTAGGAGGAGGAGGAGGAGGAGGAGGAGGAGGAGGAGGAGGAGGAGGAGGAGCTGGTCCTAGGGAAGTGTTTTCGAGAGGTCGGGGCCCGTGCCGCGGACAACTCGAGACGCCAGCTGTGTGGGCCTGCCCCCCTCCGCTGTCCTCGCTCCTTCGCCCCCCTCCTTTCCCCCTCCTCCCTCCTCCTCCTCCTCCTCCCTCCTCCCCTCCTCCTCCTCCTCCTCCTCCTCCTCTTCCTCCTCCTCCTCTCCCCACCCCTCTCCCCGCCTCCCCCGTCCCTCCCCGCCCTCCCTGCCCCCCCCCCGCCTCCCAGCACCCCCTCCCTAATTACCCCCAGCCCACTCCGCTCTGCTCCCCTCCCCCCCTCCTAACGAGCCGCTCCAAGAGCTCCGTCGTCGTGATGTTTGTTCCTGGCGTGGTCCCGTGGAGATCCGGAGCTTCCCCGGGGCCAGGTTTTCATCCTGCGGCGTTTTTACCCGGAAAGGGCAGAGGCCCAGGGTTTTCTCTTAATTGGTAAACTTGTCCTTGATACCGTGTTGGGGAAGGACAGGCGGATTTGTTCTTCGATAAATACCGAGGTCGGGAAGGGCCAGCGGAATTCCTTGTGAGGACGTCCCGAGCGAAACGCTGGTTTTTGAAAGTCCGATCGATAAAACACATGGTGAAGTAAAACAAATCCCATCTGTCGCGGAGGTCTCGATTATTTTGTTGTTCTGTGTTATGTTTCTGCTGGGGACTAGAATTCAAAGGATATCTCAGGTGAAATCCTCGTTTTCACGTGCCCAAGTCTTGAGGATGTCTCGACCGAAACGCTTGATTTCACGCGTCCAGGTTGCCCAGGCGGATATCTAGCATGAGGTTTAGTCGAGAATGTCTAGAGCGAGACGCTTGATTTCACGTGTCCTGGTCGCAAATGCAAATGTGCAGCATAATGATGTATTGAGGATGTCTCGAGCGAGACGCTTGGTTTCACGTGTCCAGGTCGCCCAGGCGGATGTCTAGCATGAGGATGTCTTGATATGGTCGTAAGTCTTAAGCGAGATGCTTGTTTTCACGTGTCCAGGTCGCCCAGACGGATGTCTAGCATGAGGATGTGTTGAGATGGTCTTAAGCGAGACGCTTGTTTTCACGTGTCCAGGTCGCCCAGGCGGATGTGTAGCATGAGAATTGGGGCAGGAAGTCTCGAGCGAGACGCTTGTTCTCACGCGTCCAGGTCGCCCAGGCAGATGTCTAGCGTGAGGAGGTTTTGGGAACGTGTCGAGCGATACGCTTGGTTTCACGTGTCCAGGTCGCCCAGGCGGATGTCTAACATGAGGATGTGTTGAGAACGTGCCGAGCGAGACGCCTGTTTTCGCGTGTCCAGGTCGCCCAGGCGGATGTCTGACATGAGGATGTGTTGAGGACGTTTCGAGCGAGACGCCTGTTTTCGCGTGTCCAGGTCGCCCAGGCGGATGTCTAACATGAGGATGTGTTGAGGATGTTTCGAGCGAGACGCCTGTTTTCGCGCGTCCAGGTCGCCCAGGCGGAGCGGGGGGGCGCCGGAGGAAGCGCAGCCGCACGCGTCCCGGCCCCCCGCGGGGAGGCTGCAGCTGCTCCTGCGCGTGCGCCGGGCCGTGGCGGCGGCCGCGGCGGAGTTCCCCTGCTCCGCCGTCGCAGAGGCCGGCAGAAGCGCAGGGCTCGTTTCGATTCCTCCGATTCGATTCGATTCGATTTCGATGGTTTCCGATTCCGATTCGATTCGATCTGGGATTCCGATTTGAGTTCCGATTTCTTATTGGAGGCATACTAGCCTGCCGATTCCTGCCGATCCGACTTTTCCCGACTCAACTGCCGATTTCCGACGATCCGATTCATGTCGATCGCCGATCCGACTTGTCGATCCGATCCTGGGCTCTCCTGGAAGCGCTGGATGCGGGAGTCGGCGACGGCAGTCACGAGGAGGTCGGCGACGTCGACGAGCAGGGGAGGGCGAGCTGACCACAATTCACGAAGTCAAACCAGAGGCCCAGTCCCAAAAACACGCGAGGGCCGAGGCAAAATGCGGGCGCCTCGAGACTTCGGGGAGGGAGAGTTTGGAGTAGGGTTTTGCCAGGGCGACGACGACGAGCGCAAAACATACCCCGAAATCTTTGGCCGATCTTCGAATCTTCGGTGAATCCACGATTTTGGGATTGGGGATGTGTTTTTTCGTGGTCAACAACCGAAGAGGACAAAGCGCCATGGACATAATCTTTTGGCGCTCCGCGCGAATGTCTCGGATCTGGTCTGGGGTCCCTTTGGCGGCGCCTCCGGCGCGCCCCTGGCGCGCTCCGCGCGGAGCGCCAAAAGTTTATGTTTATGGCGTTTCTCCTGTCATCGCTCGGACGTGTGCATTTTTTCTCGGCGAGGACCATCGAAAACCATCCTGGACCATCGAGCAAAAAAAACACGCACGAAACCTAAACATGCACGGGAAATGGACGTCCGAGCGACGGCAAGTTCTTCTTCTTCTATACAACTGTAGTTGGCCTTCTGGGGGGCCCCTCGTCGCCACGGCTGAACGCAGCTCGGAACATTGGTGCGTCTTGGCCCTCAGGGGCAGATGGTTGAGCTGCCGTGGTCTCAGCGCGCCCTGCACCTTGGGAGAAGGAGGGGAGGGAACCAGGGAGAGGGGATGATGAGAGGCGGGTGGGTGGAGGGGATGATGAAAAGGGGGTGGATGATGAGAGGAGATGCTGATCAGAGGCCCACGGAAGCGTTGGGTGTGAGGGATTGGCTCGATTTAGACGCCACGTCGTTCGGTCGGCGAAGAAGTTCGTTGTATGGACGCTCCAGCGTCCCACAGGTTGGGCAGCTGGGGCGTCTACACACCGAGCCCCTCGGCCGACCAGACGACTTGATGCATGCATCGAGCTCCTCCGAGGCTTGCTGGAACGGGCGAGCTCGGCGACGCCGACGGCGAGGGATCGGGAGCAGCAGGAGCACGCGAGGATACGGGGGGGCAGCACGTCTGAGCCGGAGGCGGAGGCAGAGGCGATGCGAAGCGGAGAGCGGGGAGGAGGCCGAGGACGAAGACGAGGACGAGGCGACTGCGCAGGAGGGCGAGGCCGAGGCTGCGGAGCTCCCCCCGCGCAGCCACCCCAGAGGTCCGATGCCGTTCTTTGTTCCATACAGGCAAGCACAACCCCAATAAGGACGCGCGACTTTGCTCAGGGTACCCCTGCGTCCTTGCTCATCCTTGCTCTTGCGTCCTTGAGGTTTTCGTCGTCCGCCGCCCCAGAAATCCCAACTTCGGCTTCCAAGGGTCTTGCGTCCTTCCCGCGCGTCCTTGTTAGGGTTTTTGACTGTGCGGTCCCGAGGCCCGGCGGGGCCCCCCGGAGGCGAAAATCAGGACAGGCGCCCTCCGGCGTGAGCTTTCCCAGATGGTCTGGTACCGGAAATTTTCGGTAGCGATTTCGACGCACCCCGAATTTCGGTAGCGACTGGATCTTCGTTTGAGCACGTTGAAATAGCGGATTTCAGAACGCTCTGATACCGGTATTGGGCGCTACATTTCGGTATTTCGGTAGCGACCGATCTCTGCGGAGCGCTACCGGAAATTTTCGGTAGCGGACCATCAGGGTTTGCACTGCCCGAGGGTGTCTGCGGCCGCGAAAAGGCCCTGGCCTACGGGGCGTACCGGGAGGCGGTGGGCGGCGCGGCCGGCCGCGGCGCCGCCGGCCGCGGCGCGGGCAGGACGGGCTTCTGTTGGCAGCGTTTCGGGGCCTCGTCTGCAGTCGGGCCGGTCCCCCTGCAGGGGGATTTTGGGCGAGAAGTAAGGAAAACTAGAAGAGAACAAATACCCCCAAAGATTCCAAAACAGACAAACAAAGATCGTCTTCACGGACTATGGTTTGACTCTGTTTGAAGATCCCCCCTGTAGAGGGACACGCCCGACTGGAGCCTCGCTGCGGCCCTGATGTCTCTCCGCCGCGGGGGGGACCCGGGAGGGGGGGGGCTGGCGGGTCGGGAGGGGAGGATGCCCTGAGATCCCGGCGTTGCGACTGGATGGGCCAATTTGCCACCACCACTGCCATGGCTAGGACGGGGGAGAAAGGAGGATGGGGAGGTCCTCCTCCTCTTTCTCCTCCTCCTCCGCCTCCTCCTCCTCCTCCTCCTCCTCCTCCTCCTCCTCCCCCTCCTTCCCCTCCCTCTCCTCCCCCTCCTCCCTCTCCTACCTGTGGTGGTGGTGGGAAGCGGACCACCCACGGTTGTTTCGCAACGGGCGTTTTCGCAGACCCGTGGGGCCCCGATGCTACATTTTTGTCGCTGCGCGGGATCTCAGGGGAGTGCGGCAGGTTTGCGTCGTGCCGCCCGGCGGCGACCGCGCCGCCGGCGCTCGATTTTGACCGCCGCCAGAGATTCGGGCCGGACGAAAGGGGGGGATTGGGAAAGGGGGGGTTACGAAATTTGCTGCATGCAGCTGGTTTCGGCCTCACCGAGGGGCCCATGCCTCGATACATGGCCGCCTCCGGCGCCAGGAGGCGCCGGGAAAATCAGCTACGTGAGCTGATTCTCAAACCCCCCCTTTGCTATCCCCCCCTTTCGCCCGACCCGAGGGTCCCGGGGTGGGTTGCTGGTGGGTGGGTCGCGGCGGGGTCGCGGGCAAGGGCGACAAGAGCACCAATGTTGGTATTGTTCGCTCTCATCTGCTCGAGTGTCACTCAACATGTATATCCCAAGCCCAACGACACCCGCGCGCTTCGTCTCCGTTCGCAAAGCGTCAAAGGGGGGAGGTAGAAGGAGGAGGAGGAGGAGGAGGAGTAAGACGCATGAAAAGAAGGAGGAAGACGCATGAGAAGGGGAGGAAGAGGCAGGAGAAGGATAAAGGATGAGGGAGAGGAAAAGGAGGAGGGGGTACCGCAGGGTTGGGGTCTGATCAGTCGCGGGAGAGGTCAGCACCGACAAGGCCCCTCCTTCCCCTCAATGGGCGGGGAACGGTGCGGCCCCAGCTTCCCAGACCCCCGACGTCATGATTTTTTCATGACGTCGACCCCCCGAGGTCTCGACCCATTCCCCGGGACCGGTGTTTCGTCCTGAGTCGTTTTTTGACGGTCCCGAGGGTCGGTAAGGGCCCCCAAAGGCCAAAAATAATGAAAAACCTCCCGTCGTGATTTTTTCATAACTCGAGGGGGTCTGGGATCTTCCTGGAGGATGATGCCCTCCGGTGTCTGGGGGCCCTCATACACTGGGGGCCCTCCAACCTCCAGCGCCAGTCGAGGGCGAAAAAAAAACACAGGTTTTTGCGACGCGGTGTGCGAAGGGTGCCCCTGGTCCAGGGTGCCCCCAGCTTTCCTCCTCCTCCCTCTCCCTCCTCCTCCTCCTCCTCCTCCTCCTCCTCCTGCTTTCCTCTCCATGGTCAATTTTCGAGCCCCTGGGGCCCTCTTAGCCTCGTGAGGAGGTGCTCTGGAGGCCGTAGGGGTCTCCGTGGAAATTCTGGGGGGCACCTTCGGCAAGGGGCACTTCTAGCAACACCTGATCTGGGGAACGTCAACAAACGACCATGGATGAGAAGCCGGTCCCTTGGAAAAAATATCGGAGACTGCCATGGGTGTGGTCAAGCCGGGGTGTGGTTTGCGATCTGCGTCGTTGGGGCTTGTGGAGGCACCGCGTTGCCCTCGTCGAGTCTCCTCGGGGCGCGGCGGAGAGTTCAATCAAGATCCTCGCCGGCCCCGCAGGGTGCCGTCTGCAAACCACAACCTCTGCAGACTACACCCTTCGGGGTCGCCGAAAAGGGTCCAGATCTCCGAGAGTCCACGCGGCGACACAGTGGATCGCTGCGCCCAGGTCCCGGTCGATGATCCCCACGACGCGCGTTAGCCCAGTGTGTGTCTACCCTGCTGAGCCTATGTCGGCCATCGTTACACCAGGCTTCGGTGGACCAGCACACGTTGGCTCTACACCTTAGGCGATGCTTAAGAAAACCTAAGTTTTCGTCCAGAGTCTCGATTATTCTTAACTTTTCAATGTAAATCCCAAGATTTTGATAGAAGTTCTGAGTTTGATTCAATTTCTGAGACTATGAATTTCTTAACCCATGATTTCTTAAGCATTTCGCAGGGTGTAGCACACGCTCTGAGGATCATCGACCTGGGCCCCGCGTGCGCTCTTCGCCCCTGCCACCTCTCGTGCTCTCCTGTCTCGGCCACGCGCAGAGGGGGGCAGGGGTAGGGGGAGGAGGCAAGGCTTCGCAGAAGCACCCCTGTTTCTTGGAAGGCGAGGGCCCGATCTGTAAAAGTCAGGCCAGCGCTTTCTGAGAAGCAGGGGCTCCTCTAAGAAGCCTTCCCCCCTCCCCCCATACCCCCCTCTTCGCCCCTTTCCGCCTCCCGTGCTCCCTGTCTCTCCGAGGGAGAGCAGTGCATACACGGCAGGGGCCGCGTCGCGTGGGCGTTGCGGGCGCCCCAGCACAGACGTGCACAGCGCGGACCCCCGCCGGTGGCCCAGAACGGGCCCACAGCGAATTTTCTGCTCGGCGGTTCAAAGATGGAGTCCTGAGGGATGGGGTCCTGAGGACGAGGTGCCTGAAGCAACCCACATCCACATTTGGATCCCTTCCTGTCCTTGGGACCCTATGCATAGGACCCCATCTTCGAATCACCGAATGCGGTCACCTCTAAGGGTCTTTAGTTTTGAACCCCCCCTTTTGACTCGGCAGTGCATGGGACTGGTCCCCAAACCTCCTCCTCCTCCTCCTCCTCCTCTGCCTCCTCCTCCTCCTCCTCCTCCTCCACCTCCTCCTCCTCCTAATGAATGGCACAAGGAGGCGTACATCCTGTTACTAGTACTATTGTGTTTAATACTACCGTGATTCTTGTTACGATGACTACCACTATGACTATTACACTTGCACTTATTATGATTGCTATGACGATTACTATTACTATTACTATTACTATTATTATTGTGCCGTAGTGAAAAATCGTGGATCTTTCAGAGGGTCGGTCGATGCGCGTCCGGCGTGCGAGCGCGGATGGTGCGTCGTCCCGCTAGGGACAAGGAGCCTGTTACAATGTGCGCGGGGGCCGGCGGGGAGGGGGGGGGGCCATCTGAGGGTTGGAACCGGGTTTGAACCTTTAAGTAAGTTTCGGGAGCCTTGAGACGGGGGTCAATACAGATGGGGGTCAGCCAGGGCGCCAGATCCTGCAGGATCCTGCAAAGGCCCCCTCTGGCTGACCCGGGTTAGCGAGCCGCTCGTGGCCGCGAGGCGGCCGCTCGTATTGGCTGACCCTGGTTTGCGAAGACCTGCGTTGCAGTTTTTGTTTCTTGCATTGCAGTGTTTGGTTTCCTGCTGACCCGGGTCTGGATTGACCCGGGTCAGAAGATCCCCGACCATCTGAGGGTTTGAACCGGGTTTGAACCTTTAAATAAGTTTAAAAGTTCAAATGGTATGGCGGTTGCAAAACGCAGGACCGCGTAGGACCTCCTCGACAAGATTGCCTTCTTGACGCTTCCAAGGCGGTTCCAAACAATAGAAGACGGTTCCAAACAATTGAAACCACGAGCGTTTCGCTTGGGACTTCTCGAAAACAGGATTCGAACCGGGTTCCAAGCAATGTGACGGCGGTTCCAAATCGCAGAACCGCGCAGGAGATCCTCGACAAAATTGCCTTCTTGACGGTTCCCAAGCGGTTCTAAACAGTAGAAGTCGGTTCCAAACAATTGAAACAACGAGCGTGCCGCTGGGGATTTTTTCTCGAAAACAGGATTTGGAACATGGTTTCAAATCCTGTTGTGCATGTTGTGCTCTGCGTATTGTTGTGCTCAGCGTGCTGGAGATGCGTTCACAGGCGGCTGGGTGTTCACAGTCACAGTGGTGCTCAGGCGTTGTTGGACTCAGGTAGTAATGGTTCTATGTTGGTGCAGCCACTGCCACAGCGCAACGAAAGTGAAGGAAACACCAACTGATGCCACAACGCCAAGGACGGCAAACAAACACAAACTTGAGTCACGCCCTTGTATCAATCTTATAATCAGTCTTACTGTCACTATTACTATCAGGATTCCAATTACGAGTACTCCTGAGCAGGAGGAGGAGGAGGAGGAAAGAAGGAGCAGCAGGGTAGCGACTATTACCACTACTATTACGACTACTACTATTGAATGTGTGTGCTGGAGGCAAACTATCTTCAATTATTAAAGTAGAAACTATAATAATACTCTGATCCAGCTCTGATTCCACTCTGGCCCGGAATTCTGTTTCATCTTTGATTTTCTCGTAACTCTGACTGAACCTTGGTCTGAACTCTGATTTAACTCTGATTCGGCTCTGTCCCCGAGAATCAGAGTTCCAGACCAGAGCTAATTCAGAGCTTCAGCTAAACCAGAAAGATGAGCCAGAGTTTCAGGCCAGAGCCAAATCAGAGTTCCGTCAGAGCGCGCCCGTACGGAACTCAATACTCGAAAGGGGGACCGAGCTTCAAGCTGCCCCCCCCTCCTTCGAAAAGGGGGGGGGAGCTTCCGAAGCTCCCCCCCCTCCCTTCTGAAGGGCTTCTAAGCTAGGGGGGCCCTGACTGAAGGGGGGGGGGGGGCTTCGAAGCTATCCCCCCCCCTCCCTCCCTTTTCCGGAGCAGAAGGTGAGCCCGGGTTTCCCTTGCAAAGGGGGGGGGTTTCGGAAGCTACCCCCACCCCTCCTTTTTTTTATTCTGGACACAGGGGGTGGCGACTTTAAACTACCCCCCCTCCTGTGCAAACGGGGG